TTTTTAAAAACAGAACATGGGTACAGCTTGCTTGTAACATAAAGTAATAATATTTATATAAACGTTATTTATATTTCTAAAAATGGCCAAACATGCCTGCTCAAATGACAAATGGCGAATTTGGAGGTCTGTATCTCGTGAAACAATTTATTCATTATCACATCATTCGCCAGTAGTACTCTACGTATATATGGCTCTTATTAAAAAAAAAAAATAAGATTGGGTAGTTGAGTGATACGATAGTCGGAATAAATTAGGCGATTACGGGGAAACAATCTAACAACGAAACGTTCCGATGCAAATAAAAAAACGAAAGCTCCACCTTCGAATGTTTAAAATTTGGGTACCCTGTCATACTCTATTTTGACATTCATTTCTATTAAAAAGATGTTGCATTGTTTTATTCATAAAGAATACACAACTCCCCAAAGTAGTGTCCTTTTTCACAGTCTACACTTAGCAGTGCCCTATAGGAGAGGTGGCTCTGCGTTCCAGTTTCAGGAAACTAACACACATCTTTCATATATATTTATTCAGATGAAGTCACTGACAACTAGAGCAATCGGTCACACACTAAAAGTGAGGAGAAACTATATACATCATTTTACATACCTCGTACAAAGAGGTATACTGGAGACTATATGATTCGAGAAAAGATGATGCAGTGTTAAGTTTTACTTTCCGGTATAATTTATAGTTGAAGAAAACAACTTTACTCCCACACACAAAAATAAAGATTGAATACTAAAATTGTTTACGTTAGGTAGGTATATTCGGGGACAAACCATTTTAGGTGAGTGGTGCCATCGCGGCGGACTGTAAGAGCTTCGGTACTCTCGGTGTACAAATGGATCGTGGCTGGCCGAGATATTTAATTCTGCGCGAGGACAACGTTTCGTGATTCTCATATGATGATCAGATAAATATTATAAGCTATCATCAAATAAAATAGTAGGTTAAATACCCCGCAAAGAAAACTGTGATCAATAAGATAACCCTGCATTCAAAATGAGCAGTCTTTGGGGCATCAAATTCGGCACTTTACACTGAGGCTTTCCTGAATGTACCCTTTTAATAAAGTTTCTTCCAACCAGATACGACTGTCCGTGCTACATATATGTCACGGGTTCCTTCTCTTGATGACTTGCAGAGCCGCCACGCGTGCCAAGGCTGAATGCCAGGAAAAGAGCGCACCGTCAGCCACCCTTCCTTTTTTTGCTGTTGACGATACCGAACAAGCTCATTTTCGTCCAAATACGCAAGATGCACCCAGTTTCTCAAATAGAACGCTCACCATTGTCCTGGTCGTCTGAATATGAAACGTTATCTCAGGTTGTTCAGCGTGGCCTGGTGCTTCGAGAGTCCGCCAACTCCGTCGCATGCATTTTCCTATGTCCAGATGCAGAAAATAGTAACTGGGCTTGTGGGCAATCATTCTGTGCAAACTGGTGAAGCTGGTAGCAATTCTTAAAATGACTGGCGGCCCCGTCACTTACGTACGTCACCTGCGAGTATACCACAACGTTGCCTTCAACTCACTCTTGCATTTTTTCTAGAGCCGAGCACATGAGAGCGACGTCGTCAGACAGGTCCTCACTGATGATAGCACCGCGATTTGTAGATTTTCTTGACGTCTCTGCACATGTAAATATCGTAACTCTTTTTTTTCGGTGGTATGCTTTAAAATTGTGAGGAAGCACGATGGTACAGTTGTCAGCAAAGTCTAAATGAAAAACAATGCTCCCGCGTTGCATGCAGCTGCTTTTCATCGTAGATCGCTTTATCTTGCGTTTGTCGGATCTGGCTGTGAAATATGCAACTTTCAACCGTTACCTTAACGACTTTTAGAAAAATCTCAGAATACAACGTTTTTTTCGTTTTTTTTTACAAGGTTGTTTGATTTTCATGTTGTAAGCACAATCTCTTCATCCTCTGGGACATGAACTTCCTCGAGTATAAGGGACTGGCCTTTTGGGCAGTGATCACAGTCTCCTTAAAGACACGGACTTGTTAGTGGGTCGCAGAGAAATGCTGAGTTCATTTCACAAGTCTTGAATGTTGAGCCTGTAACGTTCTGTTCAGCGGCAATACAAAGGTAATAGTTGTCGCAGCGCACAGAAACGCACACTTCCTGAAGGCCTCTCGGATTGAGCGTGTAAGGAAGCGCTTTGGCACGAACGTTTTCTCCCCTTTGTACCAAGGTCCCAAGCTTTTGGTTGGGACCTTGGTGCGAACATTGTAGCTCGTCTTCCGTGAAGTACTCTAGGGCAGCAGACAGGTTCTCAAGGCTCACCTTGCTCTTCGTGTAAGGATCCGGCTCATACCACGCGCCATGCTTTTTCTTACGTAAAACGTAAACACTGTCGCCATGTTAACCTGTCATAGGTTAACATGGCGACAGTGTTTACGCTTTATTGTATTTATGCGGGTCTCGAGTATTTGGGGGTTCTGCTCTGTGTCGGTGTGCCTCCGTGTGCCTCATATTATCGCCCGTGGAGCCATCGAGTGGGATGGCGACAGGCACGTCTGCTCAGTAAACAGGCATCGGCCGCCATATTTTGCTGGTGGAAGCGAACTCTCTCATCCTTGAAAGCGTACAGGGAAATGCGAAAAAATATTGTATCATCCGCTTTGTCAAAACTAGCGACGAGTGTCGTTTGCTACTTCCGTCAACTACTGCGTCATAATCGTGATCTTCGCGGGGTAATGATTGTTGCTAGCCACAGAACACAATCACGCAGAAAGGGAATGGTTGAATATATTTTTATTCCAGATATAAGTCAGGGATATATATATAAGAGGGAGAGAGATGGAGATAGAGGGTGAGAGAGAGGAGCATAATGGTGCTGTAGGAAACTAAAGTAAGCAAACTTCTCAGAGGCCGATGGCTGCAGGATCTCTTCTTGGATCACTAGTTTGTAATATGATAGCTCTTTGCACACAGTAGTTTCTACTCAATTTTAGCGAGTAAATGATTTTTAGAGGCATCAATGGCCTTTATTGAATAAAAATATATCAAAGATGTGTGTTAGTTTCATGAAACTGGAACTCAGAGTCACTTTTTTCTATAGGGCAATGCTAAGTGTAAGCTTTGAAAAAGGACCTTACTTTGGGGTGTTGTTTCTTCTTTCTCAATAAAAAGATGCAACCTGTTGTCAATCGAAATGAATGACGAAACAAAGTATAATAGGGTACCCAAATAAAAAAAAAAGTCGAAGGTGTATTTTTTTTTACTTGCATCAAAATTTTTTTTTCGTTTGATTTTTCCTTAAGTTTGCCTAAATATATCCCTACTATCGCATCACTCGGATACTTCATTGTTTTTTTAATAATAGCCGCGTACAAGTAAAATACTATCTGCAACTTATATCATAAGCATTAAATTATTTCACAAGATACAGGCATCCAAATTTTGCCTATTGCCGTTCGAGCTTGCATGTTTGGCGATTTCTGCAAAAATGAATAAAACTTAAATAAATAATATCACTTTATATTCCAGGCAAGCTGTACACGTAGTTTGCGTCTAAACAGTATTACAATTTTGACAATGTTATTGTTTTAGTTATTCGCTGACATACGTGCCCCCTCCATCAGTGCTCCTTAATGCAACTGTCCACCTCTTCATGCCTTACGATTTTTCCTGAACCCAAACTTTTTTTTCTGGTCAAAACTGAGTTTGCATTCCTTTATAACAGATACTAGACAATAGCATATAAAAATATCAGTTGATTTAAAAATGTCGGCCAGCCACCCTTTGGTCGATTTTATCTGAAATCACCCTTATTTGTATCCAGCCCATGGAGAAAAAGAGACAGTCAAAAACTCTCAAATATTAGAAAAAAGAAAGAAAAAGAAAAAACTAAGATGCTGAATATCTTAGTTTGGTGCATTAGCATTACAACTTTATATACTGTTCTCAAGCTATATTACTATAATAAAGGAGTAATTTGTATTGCCATAAATTATTTTTGGTGTTCAGTTATACAAAATTCAACTGCTCAATGTATTTATCTGATAGAGTGGAGCCATTAATAATGGTAGCCAATAATGTTTCAACGAATTTTGCGCAAGAAGGTCCTTATGTGAAAAAAAATTCACAAACTGTGCTTCAGTGCAACACGTTCATTTTTATGTTTACTTGAGCTAATAATGCTAATTTTTACACATTTATGTACTATTCCTTTATTATATTTATTCACATATTTAATTCAGGAGCGAGAAAGCGTAGTAACAATTAATGCATAACTCTGGCACCCTCGCGATACTTTAGGAATGTATTAGGAAAATTATTTTATACGAATTATAACTACCTAATATAATTCATGCCAGGAATTCCAACATTTCAGCTGATAATTCACTGACCTCTCAAATTATGACTTTAACGTATTTATAATATTGTGATGGCACCGACGAGCCTGTGCAAATTTAGCATTTTTTAAACACTTGGGCTGGATGATGAACGTAAAGAAACCAAAGTATCTACAGGCTTCTGCTACAAATCACATACACATTTAATTGATGTACTCATTATTCCTCTTAAGTACAATAATACAATGTAAAGAGGATCTCTATTGAAATCGAAATTTACGTTTACCCCTCTCCCTTACATATCTAAACAAGTTATACGAATGAATGTGCATAATATTACATTTTTCTCTTCGTAACATATCCATGCGTATCGAATACTTATATTCACGATCTACGCAAATTAATTCAAAGACATTCAAAGCAAAAAAAAAAGCTGCGGATCTCTCCACAGCCCATCAATTTTTACTCTCTTTTTCTTTCTCTATCTATATCATTCATGGCCAATATAAATTAATTACAATTAATTCACTTACATTTTTCCTAATACACACGCAAACACAAATGCACATCGTATACCTCCAAAATGTTACGTTCAGCATGCGATTTGGTAAAAAATGTCGAAGTCGTTCCGCCTTCAAAACAAAACAAAAAATTTAAATGCTGTTACATTTGTACAATGTCATTTTCCGCAGAGGTTGTACTGCAACCGACACCGGCAGCCACATTCCGCACCATCGGGGGCATCCTGGACATCTTCGTTTTCGTCGGACCGACCCCAGCCAAGGTGGTGCAACAGTACCAGCACGTGGTCGGGCTGCCCGCCCTGCCCCCTTACTGGAGTCTCGGCTTCAACCTGTGTCGTTACGAGTACGGGTCGCTCGACAGGACGCGTTTCATCATGGAGAAGAACATCGAAGCGCAGATTCCTCTGGTTAGTACGACACGCTCGCGCTGCGGTCTTCTGCCTGCGGCATGACGGTCTCGGAGACATTCGTACATTAAAAACGCAGCATTAGAATTCAGCAGTGGAATCCAGGTGTGCACGGGTTATGAAAGGCAGTAAATTAGAATTATAAAGGACAGTAAATGAACTGAACAAAACACGCCACTATGCTCAGTTTGACTTTAAGTACGGCCGCAGAAGACGCAAAGGATATGATCGAGGAAATCAAGCAGTGGCGAAATGTGCATGGCCAAGGCCCTGATAGTTTTAGTGCGTTTGACATTACCGACTAAACCAATCACGCATGTGGAAGGCACCACGACCTTTCATTTTTCGTGCGCGTGATTGGCTTAGCCGATCATTCCAAACCTACAAAGACAACGAGCGCCGTGGCAATGCACAGTTGGCGCTGCATCGTTGCATCCATAGGACTGTAGTGTGTGATGCGGTCGGAGCTGGCATGAAAACTGAGTGAAGTTACGCAGCATCAGGAAATATGCGTGAAGTTTTAAAGTATGCGATGTACTTTAGCGCAACAATTGAAAACGAGCGTGTTGGTTAATAGATACAAAACTTGAAAGTATGAAACAGAGAGGACGAGGACGGGGACAGGACATCTTTCAAAGAAAGATGTCCTGTTCTCGTTTTCGTCTTCTCTGTTTTATACTTTCAGGTTTTGTACTTTAATGCAAACTCCTATCTCCAAAATGTTGTTCGTTCATTAGTCCGTGCGCGCATTTTGCTCTTTTGTTTTGCGGGAAAAATTGACGTCCCGTAACGAAAACACTAGTTCAGTTTACCCGTCAAATTTAAAGAGAAAATTATTTAAAAAAAAAGGGTTCTTCACTTACCGAAAAATATTTACCGTCTTTTATACAAATTTAAACTGCCGCGCCTTAGGCACCACACTCCATGCATTGTAGACACTTTGAGTTAGAATTCGCTTCCATGAAGTTTTTCATTATTATTAGGTTTAGAGTAAATAGTCAACGTGAGACTAGAAAATACAAAGTATGTAGTACAAATGTCATTCCAACTTCTGAAACGTCAACGTACCAAACTTATACTGAGTGTTTATGGGGAAGCAGCACGAGTGTTTTTTTAACGCAAAAATAAACTCCGCAGAGTCGAATGCCCAATATTCTCCCTAATGCAGCGCAATCAGTGGGTATTTGGTGCTAAAAGTTAAGCATTTACCGTTACCTCTTTCAAGCGTAAAGGCACGACCACATTGGCGTTTCGGAGGCCTGCGGCGCGACGGTTGTCGCTGCCGGTTGCCGGCGGAAACCAGTTTTCGGTAGGGATGCCGCGAACTTTTTTCGAATCGAAGTTTCGATGCGAAGTTTCGATGATCGAATCAAGTGGTTCGAAAGGTTCGAAAGATTTCGATTTTTCGAATTGTCTATGATGTAAAATTCGACGGAGGTCGATTTTTCGAACTTGTTAAGCTAAGAAGTTCGACGCTTTTCGAACCGTCGAACTTATTACGCTAAAAACTTCGTTCTTTTTCGAACTTTCGAACTTATTGCGCTGCAAGGTTCGATGCTTGTTGAACTTTCGAACTTGACTGACCAAAAAATTCGATGAATATCGAATTTTCGAACTTACTTATCAAGAGAAATCGAAAAGTTTCGAACTTTCGAATTCTGAAAAGTCAGAAGTTCGACGAACTGCGAACTTTTAGGGTAAAAATTCGACGTTCGTCGAACTTCGAAAGACCGGTGGACGCCGTGGTTTCATTTGATTTCAAGTAGTGGGGTACATTCGTAATTTTTTTTTTCTCGAATTTTTACACGCGGTGCTGCGTTCCTTACGAAAGACAATGTCGTTTATTTCAATGTTCTGGCATGCTTAGGTTTAAAGAAATAAATCCCCGAAGGGGCGAGGAAGGACGACGGGTTTTTGACGATTATCATTTGTGCCAGATTTGAAGCACGCTGCAGCCGGAGCTATTTATGGTAGATATGTTATACTTTTTAAGAATGATCTATGTATAGCCTAGGTAAGTGCCGTCTTAAGATGTGATTATTGTTATTTAACGTGAGTTTCGAAGAAATGTCCAGACATGTATCTGCATGCAATTATGACCTAAACTTGATATTTATTTTCGTCTAAGTTGTTTGAGGTATCGCATTTAAATTAACACCACAGACAGTACATATCATTGCCATCTGCAGAATACAAAATAATATATTTATTGTTTTTTCACGTTAAGGAATAAATTCACTCATGGGAGAAGATTTCTAATAGTGTTCAAGTTGAGCACGTCATTAAAGGAAAAAAAAATTTTTTCGCTTCACGTTCCTGGGACGTGTTTCTTTTAGCCTGTACACATTTTGGTAAAAGAAACTTGTTTCGAAGTTCTGAACCTCTGAATATGCAAGAATAGAACACTTCCGACGATTTCTTAATAGTTTTTTTTTTCTCCTGCTTTTTATTCTCGCATTTATTCTTTTTTTTTTTTTTTTTTTTTTACTATCGGCACAGGTGTTTAGGTCGAAAAGACAGCTTTGAACTTCCGAACCACTAAGCATGTGACGAGCAGTGCCTTCTGAGAACGAGCTTCTAACAATGACCATCTACGCAACCTTTTATGCAGTGAAGAGCGACAGTAGCAATACATATGCATAAATAATTTCAAATTAAAATAACCTCGACCACGCCCTCTTTCCCCGTATTGTTTTTTTTAACAGTCCGAAATACCTGCAAGGGGAAGAAGGAGGCTGAACCCCCCCTCCCCTCCCCCCCCCCCCCCCTCCCCCGCTACCCTCTTTCCCCCCCGTTTTTCCTCTTCCGACGCCACTTGTATGGTAGAACGCTCCTCGACCTCGAGTTGTGCCGGTTTTTGTGCTTTTTGCGAGGCGATTCCTCCGTCCTAGAAAATAAACCTCCAGGACAATTATAAACTTCACCGGATCGGATTACTACCAGCGTGCAAGGGGTGGCGAGCTAGTTTGCCAGGTGGCTTCAAGGTTTTTCTGAACCTCAACCTCCTGCTCGCCCCGGGCCGTTTCGAACTGGATGAGTCTCGTAAAACAGTGTGTTCGTGCAATCACTACTGCGTGATGCAGGTTAAAGACCCCCCCCCCCCTCCCTCTCCCCCCCCCCCCCCCCCCCCCCCCGGGGCTGGCGGTCACAATTCTGCACTGGCAAATATTCTAGCACGTCCGGGACACTCGTCGCCTCATTTAATTGCCCGACCAACTTCGCAGAATCTAGATATCACACCCTAACTTTTCTAAACTTGATTTGGTGAAAACCAGTGAGTTGTGAAAACGTTATTTGAAACTGAAACTGTGGAAAAACTTGAAAATCGGACTTCGAACTTTGAAAACTTGAATTAAAAAAAAATTCAAAATCATCAAAGTTTTTTTTTTTTTTTTTTTTTTTTTAATTTAGCGTTAAAAGAGAATCGAAACCTTCGAACTTTTCGAACTTTATGCAGAAAGAAATTCGAAATCTTCGAATTGTTCGAACTTCATGTCTATAAAAATTCGAAGCGTTCGAAGTTTTCGAATTTTTTTTCCAAAGAATTTCAAAATCTTCGGATTTATCGAACCTGAAGTAAAAAAATATTCGAAATATTCGAATTCGAAATTTTAGAAACCGTGAAAGCTTCGAAATTTTCGATTTCGAAACTCCGCTGTGGTCAAAAGTTGCGAATTTTTCGAAATCGAACCTCGGTCGGTACGAAAATATCGAAATTTTTCGAAATCGAACCTCAGTTTGCTTCGCAAATATCGAAACCTTTCGAAATCGAACCTAGGGTGGTTCGCGACATCCCTAGTTTTCGGCTTCAACGTCACGACGTGCGGCGCCGCACACCCAACCGCTCCTTGCGCGGTTCAGAGCTCAGTGCCGCACGCCGCAGAAGAGAGGAGCCAATGGGAGGTGGCGTAGATAGTGACGTCGCGATGCCGTGGCAACGCTCAAGCCGGTCCTCGGCGCGTCTCGAAGCGAAGGACGTGTTTCGTGTCGTCTGCTCCCCCTATTTCCCCCGGATGCCTTCCCCAGCGGAGCGGTTCCGTGAAACTAACCGCTGGGAAATTATAGGAGAGGAATTCGGAATTACAAGTGAGTTTCTCCGTGGCACTTGTTGCATGTCGTCTCTGTTGTGACGGATGTCGTGTTGATTTGGTGACACTTTCGAGAGTAGCCTTTATCTCTGGCGCGCCGCCGGGGCAGGAAAGCCCCGGCGGCGCGCCAGACCTGTCCTGTCCTTCGGTGTTTCGGTAGAACCAATTCGGCCGGACCCAAACCCTGCGCCTCCTTCCCTTCAAGGCGCGGCGACGTCGCAAGATCAACGAGCAGGCTAGGATAATCATATTCACGCTGATCACCAGGTCATTATGAACTCCTACCGTCTAGACAGCGAGTGCGGAACGGAAGAATTTAACGAAGAGCAGACGGCGAAAGAGCGGGAAATCCGACGGGAGGCGCGATCGCGGGATCCAGTGCTGTCACGTGACGCCTGCAAAGCGGAGGCCGATGTGGACTCCTCGCGTTGGGACGCCGGACGGCAATGCCGCCCGGCGGCGCCGTTCACGCTAGTGTGGTCGGGCCTTAACATGCCAGTTTCGAAAACAGTTAAGTGAGAAAATGAGTGCCAACAGAGCCCGTGCATGCATATAGATTAATGAAGCCTGCTACCAAGAATAAACCTCGTAAACTAAATCAAAACTAAAAAAAAAAAAAAAAAAATACGATTGCGTATACGTTTTGTATTAGATAATGTCAGGTGCTGAAACGTTATCATCGGCATGATCACAGCTTCTCGGGCTACATATGAGCCGATACTAAGCGTTCGAAGCAAAAATAATGTTCTTCGCTGGTGCAAATACTCTAATAGTTGTTATTTCTTATTTTTACGAGGGGCGGTTGTTAAGGGCGATTTTGTCAGTTCTGGAACTGCCGCACAGTGCTAAAATTGTTAACGCAGTGCTTCCGCTCACCTTTGGAGACATTGTGAGCATGTGAAGCTTTATGCTCAGACGCAAAACGAAGATTTATTTTTTAGATTTAATCGCATGTGTTCGATTCCGTCACTCGTCGACTGAGCTCAAGATATCCTAGTGCTCTGTGAAAAAGTAAACTCACAATCGTGTTTTAAATTGAAGTATTTGTAAATTTATGTAGAGCATGTGCGTCATTCGTACGCTTGAGGACGACCGCTTGATAATAAGGCGCATATGAACTTTGCTTATGTTACTGGTGCGACCGAGGAAACTAAATGCACTCTAGTAAACAGGCGACGTCAGCCTCGGCGGTTTAAGCTCACTTTTTCCTCTTGTAACATTTGTTTGATTAAAGAACACTGCTACAAGTTTCTCTACTTTTATTTTTTGAGATAATAAAAACTTGTTAGGTAAGATATACGATAATAAAAAAATGTGTGAATCATTGTAAATTTGGTCGTCAAAGTTCAAATTAAATAAAACCCCAAAAATGCGTGTATCTGTCAAAAGCATATGTAAAAAAAAAATAATTAGTTGATAGCACCTTTTAAAGCAATAGCCACCGCCAGTAGGGAAGGCAGGCGTGAATAGTCCCCGGCCAACGTTAATAGCATAATCCTACTAATCTTCTCTTCTTTTTTGCGGTTTTGAAAAAAAACAAAAAAACTGTACTACCCCCAGGACGTCCAATGGAATGATATCGACTACATGGAACGACGCAACGGCTTCACCTACGATAACGTCAGTTTTCACGGCCTGCCAGAGTTTGTCGATCGGATCCATTCATCTGGTCGTCACTACGTCATGATATTCGTAAGTAGCTTTTGTGTCTGCTCTTTCAAGTCTCAACACATGAACAATTTCTCAATTACCAATTCAGAACTTAAGACTACGTGGACACCTTCGTAGCGCTCCATAAAATAAAAGTTCACGTGATTGGCATAATTCTCTCCTGAAGCCGATTTTGCTATAATCGATGAAAGGCTAAGGGTAAAATGGAAGCGCCTCCCGCCTTTCTGTCCTTTGACATAGCGGACGCTGCAGGCTAGACGATGCTTCGTGCGGTTCGGAAAGTGACTTTCTTCAATACATATGAGCACATATGTGCAGTGTCCCGAAATTTAGCTGTGATTTCTTCTACAAAATGGGGCCTAGAAACATACACGGTTTTTATGCGATCGGCGGCACGGCGCCTCCGGAAGGGCAGGGCGTCCGCAGACTCCCGGCGTCGTAATCGACGTAGACCTAGACGTCGACCTAAACGTCGAGTTTGACGACGTCCTCCATTATGTCGTCCTAGACTTGGTTCTTGAAACCGAACCAGTGATAGGCGTCGTCTTTCACGTCATCCTCTGGGATGTCGCCCTTGAGGTCGTCTTAAAAGCCGTCCTGGAGGTCGTCTTTAAGATCGCCCTAGAGGTTGTTCTAGACGTTGTCTTCGACGCCGTCCTCGATTCGGTGTTTGACGTCGTCCTTGAGGTCGTCTTAGAGATCGACCCAGATGTCATATTTGACGCCTTACTCGACGTCGTCCTAAAGGCCCGACCCCATGGACATGCTTTTCACGCGCTTCATCGGCACCCGCGTCTCTCCTAGTGTTGGACAAAATACTCGAAAACAGTATTTAAACTCCGAAATACCCTGCACTATAAAGTATTTAAAATACAACTCAAGTTACTTCCACAGTATAGTATCTTGGGTAGAATACAAATACTTATAAATGTATTAGAATTACTTTTGAAGACACTCACTGCCTAATTTGCAGACATGTGCAAATTAAACTAAAAAGTTAGTTTGGTTAAGTTACTGAGTATCGACGCCAAAAGTAATTAGAGTAGAATAGAGATTACTTATTTGTAATAGTAATCGAGTAAACTACTAACAACTGTAAAAATGTAGCAAGTTTCTCTTGAAGTTACTGTCCAAGTTACTTTTTTATATTTTTGTGGTAGCAAAATGAACAACAGTTTTGATCCGTGAAAAACCCTGCGAGCCTAAAATAAATGCAGTCATTTGATGACGCGTTTCTACCAAAGCTGTTTATTTGCTCGCAGAAGTAATTGACTTTCAAATTTTTTTATCGGAGAGTTTTAATCTTTTCCGTCCAAAGATGTCCCCAGTCAAGCTAAAAAGACACTCGACCCACGCGCTGGATGGAACGGCAGCGTTGAATTTCAAAACCAGGCTGCGCAGGGTCGGGTAAGCGGGTGTCGGCACCTTCGGTGTGCATGACGAAACGTGTTAGGTTTTCTTTGGCTAGAGAGTCTTTTATAACAAACTTTCATTCTTTCCTTTCGGCAAGTTAAGATTGTTATGAATTGCCTCTCCTTATTCCCACGACGTTCGGAAAGCACGCTGGGCAAGTGTACCTGACCGTCAAGAGTTCAAGTCTCGCGCCATGACGATGAGATTATCCGGACTACAGTGCGTCTCGTTGCAGTGCTAGTGCTACGCTAATGAAAAAAAATTGTTTGGGTTTAACAGAAGTTGAAACGAAGTACTGTTGCACCCCGCTGATGGCCAGGTGCAACAAACGCATCTTCCAAGGGTGACTCGCAATCCTCGCCGGTGACTACGGTATCCTGACGCGCCTGACACGCCTGACAACTAAATCCCTTTTAACGAAGTGGAGGTCGCTCTGGCGTGGAAGGTCGGAAGGCCGCGAGGCATTACGTGAACAAGCATCGTTCCTCCTACAGTTACAGCTGGAAACGGGAACGTGCTCCCATGAACGAATTATATCCGTGCCAGCGTTTGTGCGCGGAGGAGTCAGGCTTTGCAATGGAGTATAAGCTGACAACGAGGCGACCATGGGAACAGGCGCCCAGCTGCGAGTTCATTCCAGTGGCTCCTTCCGAGGAACCCCCGAACCGCATGAATCAGAATTCGTCAGAATTCACTGAAGGCAGACAGCATGAAAACAACACCCTCGGAGTGTCCCCGTCTTTCACGGATGCAGCCGGAGGCGCGGCGCCTGCGTTCATTACCGGATTAGGTCAATACCAGAAAAAGGCTTGTTAAGTATCTCTTCCTCCGTTCGTGCGCGCCGGTGTTATGTTTTGGCTGCTCGTCGCCACCTTTGCCCAAGAGCGCCTGTGATGCAGAGTCTACGGCTGCCGAGTATGAGTGCGTGGGGACCGAGTGTGAGGGGACCCCTTGTTCGGAAATGCCACATCATCTGCCGCCGTCTTATTGATTTCTGCGCTCAAACTTTTGTGATGAGCAAAATAATCACTAGGTTTCAAAATTAGTCTGTAATTTGAGTAGAAGTTACCTAAAAAACGTAGTTAAATTAAACTACTTATTACCCAAATAAAGTTGTAATTGAAAGTTACCAATTAAGTTACTCGGAAAAGTAGTTAAACAGAGTAGTTTGAGTAGAGTAGTTGAACTACGTCCAAGTCTGCTATTTTGTATCGACGTCAGTGAAAAACGCAAATATGCAGTTCCGAATCTGGTTTACCAGAATGGTTTATTAGTACGTAACAGTACATAACGGCAAAGAAAAGAATAAGGAACCGAACATCGTACGGCCACTCCATGAAGTTCAACCATAAGGAGCAGGATATGACTTATACATGTCACAAAATATTTCTGGAACAAAAAAAGTTCGAGGACACCTAATCACTTGTTATCAGTTGTGAATGCGAAAGCGTGAATGTCGCTCTACCGCTTCCTTAGTTCGGCTGCGGCGTAGTGGCGTGCACGTTCGTCGGCGGATGGTCGAGAGCGCGCTTCCGTAAAGTGTCCGCGCCGCGCCGCGCTGAGCTCTGCCATGCGACCTCTCCGGAGTCTGCCCGGGCGAGCTCTCCTCTCACCGGTGGCCGCCCCAGTTTGTGCGCTGCACTGCCATAAAGATTGCATGTCTCGCTATTTTTTGCGGGAATTACGCCGCACGACAGCCAATGGGAGCCTCGTCCCTTGATGACGGGCGCCAGCCAATCTGATCATAATCCATCAGAAATCGGCTTCCTTTGGGAAAGGGGATTTTAGGTACCGTTCGGCCAACGTTTGGCGTGGTTTCAAAGCTGATGACGTTGGTTCCTTTCGCTAGACCAGTTAATGCTTTCGCATTAAAAAAGAAGAGAGGACGCTTCAGATATGGTGGCATCGCCGAGTATCACGTCTTGCGGCGCACCTTGGACGCACCGTTTAACTACAATCCAGATTCTGTACATGGGAAGTTCACTATAAACGACCTTGGGATACGGAAATGGGGGAATAAATAACTAACTGACCGGATGATAGCCACGCCACTGGTCGCTCCTTCTTCAAGTATGTTGCGTTCAGAAATGCACTCAAAGTTGGGGGAGGTTTCTGTTGGCGTTCTGAGAGGTCGTCCTTCTCGTATCTTCTCCATTTCTCTGCTTATCAATGTTCGCTTCAAGAAAGAGTTCGCAGAGCAATAAATGCCGGACTGACGAAAAAGAAAAGGAGAAAACTCGACATTTACCGTAGCTGGGTCAAATATACAAGCGAAAAAAACTTTCCTCTTCTTGTGTTCACTTCTCGTTTTATTTCTTTTTTTTTTTTACATTGAAATGTTGGGTTGTTGTGGAGGGTCGTTTCCCGTTCTGCTTTGCGCCTGAGTGTCGCAATCTTTATTTCATTAAAACCACCCCTGTTATTTCAGGATTTTTTTTTTCAGGCGGAAACTCCAGGAAACAAAAAGCGCCTTTGGGAAGGCCAGAAGAAAATCTTAATTGTACGAACTTTACGTCGAAATATGAGTCCCGATTGGCACAAAAGCGATGTTTCACAAGCTCAACCAAAGTCGCGGTAGCTTATGGGAGATAGGAACAGCATTCAACTGCTCGAAAGAATGTTCACGCTTGCTCGTGCCACGCCCACACTACTTCATACCGAACTCTAAAAATGGCGGTATGTCAAAAATGTATTTAGATATTGAGTACAAGATACTGAGAAATGTAATTTATTTAAAATACAGTATGAAATACTGTATCAAAAGTATTTACATGATACCAAGATACTTTCAAAAGTATTTCAAATACAGTATCTTGAGAAGAGTATTTGAGATAGGCACAAGCCTGGTCGCTCCGCGTGAGTGTAACTGAAGAAAGAAAGGGCGACCAGCCCATGGTGACGCGCCAACATGAGTCGGTCGGGCGCAGCGCAGTTTTGTCAGATGGACTAGGCCTAAATCATCGGACAACTGGCGACAACCTCTTGTGTACAATGTATTAAGGCTGCACAAAGTAGTTTACTTAGACCTTGGAATCCTGCCCTTGAAAAAACAAAACAAAAAACAATATAACTTTTCTTATATGTATAACGGAACCGGAAGTTTGTTGCTGGAAACATGAAATCCAGATTGCAGAGAGAGGAATGATTTCTGAAAAAACTGAAATCCAGATAGAATCCTGATAAATAACCAGTTTCATTATCGTGATAGCGAAGCTTTACACTGAGTTTTACCGTTGAAATTCCTTTTCATGTTGCACAAAAAATAATCACCTCTCAATCATAGACTGTCGTACACCTTGCGGCACACATCTGCACGGAGCGCTCGGAGACTAATTCAGGTGTTCCAGAGGGCGCGCAGGGAGGGGTTTCCTCAGGAGTTGAGATTAGGGGGGAGGGGGGGGGGGAGAGGGGGAGGGGGCATTGAGAATAGAGGAGTCGTTGTGAATTAAGGGCGTGCCTTAGAATAACAGTAGGGGGGGTTTACACCCCCCCCCCCTCCCTAGGGGTGTGTAGGGAAATCATTGCCTAGCCCCACCTCCGCCCGCGTGACACTGATTGGTATGCCTGGCAAGCCACTTCCGGCTCGATTGCGACATCTGGCTGAGGCA